ACTGGAAATATGTTTAACTAGTTCCTTCTTGCATTTCACAAGGCTTTGAAAACCATGTTGTTCAAGCTTTCTCTTGCCAAATTAAGGAATATTATATTTGTTGTTATTATTTTTGAAGTATTTGATGTTTCCTGATTTATTATATACTGACCAGATTCAATGTACTGATTTATAAGTAAATCGAATCCTGGACACAGTATTATCCATTCTTCTCCCACTCAAGTTTATTCAAACTGCACTTTTTATTTTATAGAAATAGCCAAACAACTGTTTGTGAACTCTCTGCATTAGCCCTGTTTTCAGCTTGTAATTCTAATTTGAAAAACTCGCTTAAACTAAAATTTTGGAATTTGGATAGAATGAAAAAGCCATTATTAATAGGACAGAGAACTGAAAGCATCATTTGCAAAGTTAAAGTTTATATGAATCCAGTCAATGAATAATATATAAAATCAAAATAAATCCATTATCTCAAAAATGGGTCTGCCTAATGGAAAAGTAGAGAAAATGACAGAAACATATAAACATTTTTCCTTCAGTAACGGAATGATTTAGGCATATTTTTTAATAAAATATTATCAGTACTTACATGCTGAAATTGAATTTGCAGTTTTTGACTTTGTTCTGTCAGTTCCAAAAATTCCCTCATAGTTTCATCTTTTTCCATCCTGGCTTGCTGAAGATTAGCAGTGAGCTGAGTTATAATGTTGTCTCTTTTTTTGATAGCAGTTTCAAATTCCTGCAGCTAGAAAAAGTTGGGTTGAATATTAATACCATTTATAAGGAACTCTGTATCAGCTCAGATGAGTCTTGGATGCACACCATTCCAAATATGTCCAGATATTTAGAAAACAGAAAAACAAAACATGTTTAGTATAATGGCATAACAGTAGGTTCTCTATTATGTAACGTTATCAATGGGGAATAGGGCTTGCCAACTTTCTACTTGATGGTTGCTTGTATGGTTTCATCAAGGAGAAAGCCACATACCGATAAAAACTGACAGAGCAAGCTAATATAAACAGTCAGCAAACTCAGTAATTTATCTAGGCTGAATGAAACATCTACAAAAAAAACAAAAAAGCTCTGAGAGTACAACCCTGAGCTACATATATTCTCTTTATGTATAACAGAATATTGATTTCCTTGCTAATGATATTATTTTTACCAATTAATATTTAAAAATGCTAATGTATAGATTTTTGTTACCTTAGTATAGTTCTAATATTAGTAACTTATGAACACTTTTTACATTTCAAAACATTTTTCCTAGAATTGATTTTCAGCACAAACCCCAAATAAATTTTAATTTTTGCAAAAGAATATGGGACTGCTTGGTTTTTATACTCCCTTGGATAGACCTAAAATCAGTGGTGGGATTCACTAGTTCACACCATTTTGGAAGAACCGTTGGTTAACTTCCTGAGCAGTTTGGCGAAGCCGTTGTTGGAAGAAAGCTCCTTCCAACAGCCTTTTGTTTTTCCCACTTTACAGGGATAATCCTGTCAAGAAGGCAGGAAGGAAATATTCTGGTGTGCCTCTGTGTTGTTTCTAGCCTAACATTTATCTTTATTATTGCCCTGTTTAAGTGTTTTCAGAAATTGCCTCTCTGGTTAAGTCTTGTTACATTGCAACAGCTAATGGTTCTTAGCAGTATGCCCAGACTAGTGGAAGCCACTTCTCTGGAGGGTTGCTTTTTTTTTTTTTTTTGCTAGTACAGTACTTTTATTAGGGGCTTGACTTTTAAAAAAAAGCTTTTTACACTGTTTGGGGTGTACTTTTGGGGTGTACATCCAAGAGACAGGATGCAAGCTTGGCACTCTGATATTTTTACTGCCTTTTGGGGGGCATGTGATCCTTAAATCTGGATGATTTCCTTAGGATATCTTGTGAGGTGAGTGACACCAGCTGGTATCTTTAAGTGGTGCAAATGGATCTAAGGATTGTTTCTTCTGGGTGTGAAAGTGTGTTTTGTCAGTTCACTGAGCACAGGAATCTCTTGTCTATGGGGATTCTTTAGTTGTCCAGGTCATAGTTGTTCCAAAGGAGCTTTTTTCAAGACTGTTGGAAGAAATATCTATCTGGTTCAGTACCAAGCAGAGAGAAAGACACTAGAAACATGGAGGCGGATTGGAAAGATGGTTTATTAGTGAACAGGACCACATGGGTTTGAGGTCCTGGGCAACTGGTTTAATGAGTACGTGGATTTTTGTTCTACAGCATTTTGTGATTTAGAGGCTTGTTTTGTGTATTTTGTTATTTGATTTCAATTAGTTTGTCTCATGAAGGCCAGCAATGAGTTGGGCTTTTCAAGCTTAACAAATGTAATTATGCCTAGATGCTGGTTTCCTTGGGGTTTTAATCCTGTCTTCAATGGATTACCAAATCTGCATTTTAAAAGATGGCCTCCTCATTTTCTTTGAGGCTATTAAGAAAGACTGAGTCTGTTTCCTGCCTTTTAAGAGCATGTTTCTCTATTTCTCATTTAGGGAAATATAATTTTCTGCCTTTTTAATATTTCTCAAAATATTTCATTCTTCGGGGGGACAGCGTGCTTTCATTCTTCGGGGGGATGGCGTGCTAACTTTTTGCAACTGCACATTTTTGGTTTCAAGAAAAAGCACCTTTGGGACAGGAGTCTCTTTCATTGCTTCTGAGTGGCCAAGACTGCTCACTGATAGTAAGATTAAAAAAAGAAGAGAGGGGTGTGGATCCATCAATTTATTTTAGTTTTTTCTCATGATAATAAGGCTTAATAACATGGCACCAGGCTTGAAATTTATTTAGATATCTGTGGCATGTACTAATTTTGTGATCCTGACAAGCTTGGAAGGGCAGAGACCTGAACCTGGGTCCCCTACATATATTGTTAATTTGTCTCTTTAGCTTGGCATTTTGTAGCCCAAAGGGGTGTTGGTCCTACCTGAACGCTTCTTCTCGGGGAGCTGAAGGGAGAATCCAGGATGGGTAGTCTCTAGTCTCCTAGCTCTGCAGACCGAGTTGGAAAACTGAGGACACATTCCCTAGTAATGGTCCCCAGTTCTGAACGACCTTGAAGAGAATTCAACTGCTCCTCGTCCTCAAACAGATAGTTCAGTTGATACTGTGAAAAAAAGGGGCATTTTCTCCCTATTCCGACCTGACAGAATACAGGGTGGGACTGGATTCTCCCTTTGGCTCCCCGAGAAGAAGCGTTCAGGTGGGACCAATGCCCCTTCTCCACTGAGCCAAAGGGAGAATCTAAAATGGGACATACCAAAGCTGGCCGATGGCTGTCCTATGGGTGGGATCTGGATTGGTCGGAGGTCCCCACCTCTACATACACACCCTGCAGGACTCGTCTTCCAAAGGACGCCTCCGCTGAGGCAAAGGACTCAATTTTGTAATGTCTTATGAATGGGGTCACCGATGACCAAGTCGTAGCTCTACAAATGTCCAGAATCAATGCCTGCATTGCCCAGGCTGCAGTGGTCACTGCACTTCTGGTTGAGTGAGCTGTGATCCTCCTGGGTACAGGAAGGCTCTGTAACTCATAGGCCTTTGCAATGCAGGCTCTGAGTCAGCGACCTACTGTGGAAGGTGTCCCCTGCGACCTAAAGTTGACGGCTGAAAGGAAACGAACAGGGCTTCCATCCTTCTAAGAGAAGAAGTCCTTTTAATGTAAATATGGAGGGCCCTCGTAACGTCCAAGGTGTGCCATTTTCTCTCCAGTGCATGGGTAGGTTCAGGACAGAAATTAGGCAAAATCAACTCCTGTGAATGATGGAATAAGGAGGGTAGAATCCAACTGCAAAACCACCCTGTCTGCATGGAATATGCACAGATCCTTCCTGATGGATGAGGCCGCCAACTCCGAAATACGCCTGGCTGAGGTAATGGCCACCAAGAATGACACCTTGCATGTGAGAAGGCGAAGCCAGACTTTACGCAAGGGTTCAAATGGGGGAGAAGTCAGTGCTTGCAGGACCTTAGGCAAATCCTGGGTGGGGTAGCGGTGGACCACCGGTGACCTCAAATTCGTGGCTCCCCTAAGGAAAGCTTTCACCCTAGGGCATTGGGCCAGAGTAGGAGAGCCCTTGACCGAAATCACCAAGGCCAAGGCAGCCACCTGTCTCTTCAAGGTATTGGGGGCGAGACCTCTATCCAACCTGTCCTGCAGGAGCTCTAATACCTTTGCAACAGAAGCAACAGTGGGTTCCAATTGGTGACTAGCGCACCAACCGCAGAAAATCTTCCACGTTGCATTATATATCCTGGTCATGGAAGGTCATCTGGCCTCCTGGATGGTCTGAATGACCTTTGTGGAAAACTTCTCCCGTTTCAGGATCCCCCGCACAAGTGCCAGACAGTCAACCGAAACCAGGCTGGATCTGGGTGCTCTATTGGGCCCTGGCTGAGAAAGATCTTGTGCAAGGGAATTCTCCAGGGTCTGGTGACTGACAGGCCCACCAGGTCGGCGAACCAAGGACTCCTGGGCCAGTAAGGGTCTACCAACAGAACTTCCGCCCTTTCTATCACTACTTTCCTGACTGACCCCGGAATCAGTGGAAGGGTGGGAAGGCATACAATAGTCCCTGGGGACACCTGCACTGGAGACTGTTGACCCCTTCTTCTCCCCGGGCAGGGAATCGAGCAAAGAACCTCAGGAGCTGTGTGTTCTCTGGCGATGCAAAGAGATCCAGAATCAGGTGGTCGAAGCGTTCCGTCATCTCCTGGGACAGACTGGGATGCAGTCGCCATTCTGACTGGTCGACCGTGGCCCTGCTCAACCAGTCTGCCTGCACGTTGGATACTCCCGAGATATGTTCTGCTCGTAGGGACAACAGGTTTCTCTCTGCCCACCTGCACAATTGAGTTGCCTCCTGCATTAGAGAGCTGGAGCGTGTGCCCCCCTGCTGGTTTATGTGGGCCTTGGTAGCCACATTGTCCGTGAGGAGAAGAACATGTCTCCCCACCACCTCCTGCGCACTAAGAGGGCAGCCCTGAGCTCTAGCCAATTTATGTTGTGGGCAAGCTCCTCTCGTGACCACCTCCCCTGGGTGACTTGGACTCCCAAGTGGGCCCCCCAATCATAGAGACTGGTGACAGTGGTGATGGTAATCCTCTGGGGTTCCCTGTACAAGCATCCCTGATCCATGGCTCGGGACTGCCACTAATGGAGGGAATGAAGAACTGGCAAGGGGACGCGAACCCTCCTTGGACAGTCGCCCCTGCTCGCCCTCTGGTAAGGGAGCAGGAACCACTGAAGGGTTCAGGAGTGGAAGCGGGCCCACGGGACAATCTCGATGCACAATATCATTTTGCCAAGAAGTTGAGACAGCAAGATGATAGGCGCCTCTCTGGAAGACAGGATCAGTGATGTGACTACCCTGATACTATCTCAACACTCCTGTGAGAGAAAAACCTGTCCGGCCAAGGTGTCTATAATAGCCCCCAAATGCAAGAGCCGAGTCGATGGTACTAGGTGGCATTTGTCCAGGTTTATCGAGAACCCATGCTCTCGAGGAATCCTGATTGTCAACATCAGATCCTCCTCCGCCTGGGATCTGGAAGAGGATGCTATCAGGATGTCGTCCAAACAGCATTGGATCCTTATGAGTAAGGCTCTGAGGTGTGCTGGTACCGCTGCCAAGAGCTTAGTAAAAGTCCGAGGGGCTGATGATAGGGCGAACGGGAGAGCCCTGTATTGAAAATGGCAGCAGCCATAGCAAAACCTCAGGAACTGGCGGTGGTAGGGGTGTATGG